GAAACCAAATACATTGCGACGGAATATTCTGTCGCAATCCGTCGCAATTTTTATTTTCCGTCGCAAATCATCTATTTCTTTGTTGTGACAGAATTATCCGTCGCAAACCGTAGCAAATTGTGACGGATTTTACGACTGTTTGCGACAGATAGTTTTTTTCCACATTCTGTCGTAAAATCGTCACATTCCGTCGCAATTTTCTGTGCGACGGAAATTTCCGTCGCAAATTCCGTCGCTATATGCAGGTTTTTTTGTAGTGTAGCTATATTACATTTCCTTTTATATATATATTCTCCTTTTCTTTAATTCGCTCATTCAAATTTAAATTTCTTTCTATGGTCCACGCCTATATATATATATATATATATATACATATATCTACTGATATTTAAAGCGTTTTGTATCTGAAACATTCCAAGTAGTTTTCGTTTTTGGTGAACCAGTTTCCTCTATGATGCATGTGCGAAAAAAACTTGCGACCTGTTTAGATATTTTAAAAATAATATAAAATCTTGGATATAGAATGCTGAATATAAAACACTTGGTTGTTTAGTGGATATGCAAAGATATGTATACATGTTCGGTAGATAAAAAGATTTAATCGTAGTAAATTGAGTATAGAGTGACTCAATCCGAGATGGTTGAATGGTGTAGGTGGTTGAGAAGGATAGGGGATAGAAACTCTTATCCCAAATTCTATATACCAATAACAATTGGAGAAGAGATTCATAATATAATTATGATATATAAACTGTTTTCGGAGATGTAGTTTTACCAAAAGTTCGATGAAATTTCAAATTAACAAAAAAATTGACTATAAAGTATATAGAGGGAGAGACGGATCCATCCCGATTACTATAAGATATCCTATGGTCCATTCCTCCAATTAAAAAAATCATTGCTTTTATAAAATTTATAAAAAAATAAATAAATTTATTATTTGTCCCTATTATAAATTTAAGTTTGTCCTTAAAAATTGTAATAAATTTAAAATTACCTTCAATTATTACTTTTTCTAGATCTGGCCATATATGTATATACATGGGTGGATTTACGTAGTAGAAAATGGGGGCACGTGCCCCCATATAATTAATAAAAAATGTTACTTTTTTCATAAAATTTATAAAATTACAAAACAATATTGATAAATACCCCCAATAATATTATGATTATTCATATAAAATTATACATATATTATTATTGTCTCTATATGAAAATAGTTATGGGTCCGCCACTATATATATATATATGTGTGTGTGTAATGTTAGTGTTGAAGTTGTGGGACACCAGGAGGATCTTCATTTATACTACTGTAAAATAAAACTAAATGCAGGTTGACTTTGACCATATCATCTCATGCCAAATGAGGGATCGATTTTCACTTCTTTCTACATAACCTCTTACTCCCTATTTCTTATGTCATATATATATATATATATATATATACACATGCATAGCGACAAATACATCATGTCATATGCACACGACAAGCCATACTAACATGCATATTAATTATCACAGATGTTATGTCCAAAAAATAAAAGGTTAAACAGATAGGAAGGCGAACGAAATATATAGGACGATTTCTATTTTCTTTTTCATAAAATAATATGCAAACGAACCCGATAAGATTGTCCGTTAATCGTATATTATAATGTATTTCATATATATTAATCAGGTCTGTGGTATCTAAGCTAATATAAAATAATTTGATATTTGCTCATAATTTTTTTTTTTTTGGGGGAAAGAAATGGTACCCGAAATTGCACACACAGAACACAGCTACCCTTCTCCACCGTTTGAACGACATAAATACGAAACAGTTCAACATGTTTCAGAGTTTTTCAACAGTGTCGGAGTGCGTGCAGCAGAAATTCCTGGGCCTACCAATGACCATAACGAAGGCAACCACTCAAGATGTGCCACGTGTGCACAATATCACCAGATGGAATTGTGTATATACAAAGATTAATTATAATTTATAATCAGTTTGCTTGCCGACGCGATTTTCAAGTAAGCATAAAAAAATCAGGTGAAAAATGGAAAAAAAAAAACTTTAAATTTAAGTTACATAAAATATAACGGCCTAAATAAGAAGATTGCATTTCAGAAACAACACATCGCTAACTACGATAAATCCATTTCACATATTTATTTTAAAATCTTTTTTATTTCGGGGGGGGGGGG